TAGGGACCTCTGTTAAAAAAAAGCGTCGCCAAAAAAACATAGTGACGCCAACTGCGTAATATATAAGGAGGTGATATGGATCAAAATTCTGACCACCGAAATCCTGACAAAAATTGACCGGAGTTATACCTAATGCGGGCAATTTGTCGGGATTATGACTCAAATTTATAAATATTTATCCGAAAGCATGTATTTAAGAAAGACAAATGACCTTAATAAAAGAGCAGAATAACGAGATCTCAAGGCCCTTCATTAATATCCTACACAAGATTCGACATCGGATCCTATCATTTTCCCGACAAAGTCAAAATCCCGATAAGTTAGCCCATATTGGATAGGAATTTATTTGTCGGGAAAGTAGCTGTTGCTAATGATAAAGACCCATTTGGCATATAATTTATTACTATAAACTATCAGGGCTAAACCGCATGTATGCACGTTTGCTCTCCAACCTAGATGGTAACAACGCATATACGAATTTTATTTTATGTATGAATTCTATTTTGACTACATAGGCTTTAAAAGTATTTGTATTGACTACTATATTTTCTCATGCTTAAAAGATTTATTCATTCTACAATTAATTCTCCATCAATAAAAATTATTTTCATTTTCAGAATTCTTTATTTAATAAAAAAAAAACCCCATGATAGTTAAATATTCGTTCACGATATAAAAAAAAATTGTAATACGAACTTTGTTCCCAAATTATTCACACCTTGTTAAAGCAAATGAAACATTTTGACATTTGGAATAACTTTATAAATAATTCTGATTTAAAGCCTAGACTATATTTATTTAATGACTTTCTTTCATAAAATAATATTTACTTTTTCTGATTAGCTCAAAGCCTCACAAAATTATAGATCGATATTTAAAAATATAATAATTAAAAGAATGATTTTAAGAAATTTAAAAGGAGAGGCATTTAAATTACATAAACTTAAGAATTTACTCATCATCATAATACTCATTAGATTCATCGGAGTCATTTGGATTATCAATAATAGACCATCCAATCACAGGAGAAACAACCGATTCACCATCAGAGTCTTCAAGAATTTCTTGATTAGCACCAATAAATCCAGCCATGAATTTCAATTTTAACCCATCTAAAAGAAAGGGAACACCAACGATGCCATCTGGGATATTTTGAATTCTTATTATACTATCAGTTGTTAAAGGTCTTCCTGCTCGATTATAAGGAAAAAAGTTCATTAACCATCCAGAGACAAAAGTACCACCACCGGAACCATGTACTTCATCAATCTTTACAATTCTACCCCAAAAATCATGATTAATTTCACCACGATAAGTAGCAACTAAATTCCAAATAACAGGTTCAAGGCGATCTAACCAAAAATCTAATTTCAAATTTAATTTTCTTAAATGAACAACTTTTTCTTGAAGTTTCGTCCAATCTTCAAGGGTTCCTTCGAGCGTAACTTTTGGAATTCCACAACGAGTATAAACTTCATACTCAAAATAAGCTTTAACGGCATCTAATAATACAATACGACTTACTGTTAAGGAAGTTTGGGTAGTTGTCGAAAAGTTACATTCTAATAAACCCATTAAATCGATTTTTTCGACACGACTATCAGTTTTCGTAACAAGTCTATTTACAACTTCAGGCCAATCGCCTTCATAATTATCTGTTAGAATATCGCCAGCATAAACTTTAATCTTTTCCTTTCCTTCATGTTGAACAAAACTATCACGAAATTTCTCAGGATTACGATTAATATGTTGACTAACACCTTGAGAAATTGTAAGCCAAACATCATCAGGACTTAAACGTAAATGCTTATGATAATTATATGCATGAAGAATAGCGGCGGCAAATCCATTTGGACAATAAGGTCTTTCAATTACAGTTTTTTTAGAATCACCGTATTTTGCGGATACGGCATATACTTTATGATTTTTAAAACGACTAGAAATTTGATCCTCAACTGAAATGTGAGGATCTAATTTGTTGTCAAGTTTGATTTTTTCGGTTAGAATCTGAGTGCTTCGAGCAATATTTGTTGGATTCATCTTTGTAAATAATCTGTCTGTATGGATGTTGGTTGACCTAATTTTTTTAAAGTTAAAAATTTCGGTGGTTTGAATTTAGGAGTCCATGGCGATCTTTATATACAAATACTTGTTACACCAAAACATGGATCTTACGTACGCATCACGGAATTCAATTTCCAATGGCGCAATACTATTTACGTAGAATTAAATAGCGCAGTATCATGAGATGATGTAAAAAAATAAACATACTTATAAGAATTTGATAGTACAGTATCGATAAATAAGTTATATATCTAACAATACCACAAAATAGCAATTCCACATACAGTAACAAGATAAAAATATTAACTTGCTTTTTTAGACAATAATATTTTTCACCGTAACTTTCTGTTAAAAAAAGAAATAGTACATAACACAGTCTAACCTTTCTAAATGCAATTTCTAATGCAAGCTGTTAAAAGCTTGATACCTATAAGCAGAGTACATATAAGTGATAGGTGGTTTACTCAATATACATAGTGCTCGGTTTTGATATTTTAGAAAAAAAAAAGCCAGTAGCAGATTCTACATCGAATTTTACTTTGACTCAGTTCTGCATGCTTTGTGCCAATTTTACCTCGGCGCAGTCCTGCATCTCTAGCTGCCGCTGTCATGGGAATTTTTGTTAATAATTTAATAATAGATTATTACTACATTTCTTTGATTGACAATGTACTATAACTAAATCGGGTGTGCGTTGTAAATATTGCGAAGTGATGTACTCACGTGATCGAAAAGAAAAGAGCCACCACGTAACACCATCACGGATGGGTGGGTCATCGCAAACAACCCAACTTGCGCGTGAAGATCACAAACAGCAGAAGCAGGAATTCGGGCGTGGGAAGATCAATCTAAAAGGGGTAACAGTGATAACAGCACATGCTTGGCGCAAAGAATCAGATGTCGGGAAATGGTATGAGTGGCAACGAATCCAAGCTCTTCCGGCGATTAAAGAACAAGGTAAAATTCTCACACCCACCAAACCACCCACACGTGATGACACGTAATTCCATCATTTCTTTACTTGCGGCCGGCTTCTTCGGCAGGCGGGGAATGATCCCACCGGCTAATCCTACTGAGACTCCCAGTGCAATTACGATTGCTTCTGTCGCGGGATGTCTCTGCCGTTCCGACCAACTCGGTCGATTGCTCGCTTTCTATCATGTATTCTGCTAACCTTAAATTCAATAAACTATCACCTCTAGCGTATATTATCGGCCAGCATAGTCCAAACATCGATTGTTGTGTAAAACGAATGCTTTTCGATGAAAGTAATACGTTAATAATAAAATGAGAGAGGTGAGTGAAATATCGACGTAGTAGAAGAATAAGAAATTGAATACACGAATCATTCTAATGATTATACTTTTTTTAATTTACAACTGTCATTAAACCCGAATCCATTAATAAAGCACTCGTCCCGCATAACCTATGCCCAAAGCTAATCTGCAACAACAGATTTTAGATTTTGATTGGCTAAGAGCGACGATCAAAAATTTGGCCGGAATTTACCAGGAACGGAGTACAAAGTACGTAGTGTATGGTTTACAAGCGATGTGTGCGATTCTCGGCATCTGATTGGATAAAAATCCCTTGTGACTTTTGTAGCACCCCGAACAGTACTAAAAAA